TCTATCAAAGACCAGACTTGCAGATCAAGTGCAAATCAAATCGCTCATGTTCTTGTCCTACTAAGAAGAAGTTTCATTCCAGACGCATCAAGTTTTCTCCACCTAATGCTCATGCTAGACGCAAATTTCGACATTTTAAGCACTGCAAGTTTCTTTGAAAAATGAAACGCAGAGGCAAACGATCTAATCGGTGTTATTTGTGCAACCGTCCTGATCATTTTGCCAAAAATTGTCCAAACAAGCCTAAATAGTCAACCAAAATGATGCAATAGCTTTCTCAGCTCATAGATGATCCAAATCCAACCAATTTTCAACAACAAACAACACAAAATATGCCCTAAACTTAAGCTCAAATTCGGCCAAACACAAATGGAAGCAATGTNTTCTTTTTCCAGGTGTATATATGGCTTAGATGCTCTGGAGAACTCATATTGGCACTGCCTGGGCATTCTGGATCAGTTAATTGTGTGAGCTGGAATCCAGCAAATCTTCACATGTTGGCTTCAGCCAGTGATGATCGTACAATTCGAATATGGGGTCTAGATCACTTAAAAATGAAGCACAGGGAACAGAGCAATGGTGCCATCCACCATTGCAATGGAAGTAGTCACAAGTAACAATTGCTATACTTTTAAAATTCCTTGGGAGTGTCAGACATTAATGTTCTTCTTTAGTTCATTAACATTTGTGTAAATTCTTTGATCATTTGTTTTTGTTCGTTGCATCCATGGTAGACAAAAAGCAAGTTATTAATGCAGCTGCTGTCTGCCAATACTTGGATCTCACTGGTTTTATTCTCAGCATATATGCATACTGCGCCTAATTTCTTCACACAAAATATATACTTGTATTGCCATACTTAAGCTTACCAGGACATTTTTTCTTTAAATATCCCTTTACTATATTAAGCTCATCTACATCTATGTTATAAGAAGTTAAGATATAACTAATTTTCTTGTTCAATGGTCTTGTGTTGACATTTTAGTCTCCTCATCGGCAAAATCTAAGCTCTTTTGTTTCTGGTATTTATTTTCATGTAGAAGCACACATTGTCTTGCTTATTTCCTACACTTTTTGTCTTTCAAGAAGCATTTGCCATAAGTTGGGTATTGAAGACATTCAGTGTTACAAAATTTTGCTTCTGCTATCCCATATTCATTAACAACCGTTCAACTATATGTTTTGCATGAATTGCTCCCTTGATTTCATATCTTAAATGAAGCCCTGAGCTCTCACAACGCCTGAATCCTGATACACTGCTTTGTATTTGCTTAATTACAGACCTCATTGTGAAGTTTTTAGGTTTTTTAAACACTACACTTATTTTTCTTTTGTTATTATTGACACGAAAGAGAAGAGGTTCATGCTTTATGCCAAAAGCTTAATTTGTGAGTGGAGTCAGTACAAACATCTTGCAAGCACTAGCTTCCACATTGGTAGTCAATTTCCCTTGAAATTTTGTTGGAAGAGTAGTATGCTGAAATTAGAAAATTAGAATTTGAGTTAGACTCAAAGCAACAAAAGTTTCCTTTAAACTTGGGTTTTACGTTTACCTCCCAAATATCTCTTGCTTCAACAACCGTGTTGGTTGAATTAAAGCCAATGTCATCCCAATGTGCTGTCATCTTGGAACTCCATGGCTTTCTGTTCTCCAAGAGAACAACTATCCTATCTCCCGAAAGAGGACCCGCCCATATCTGTGAAACTGATATTGCATTAGGCAAAGGTCAAAAGAACGGGTAAAGTTAGCGAACCAGTAAATGCCCTTGGATCATGATCCAAGGGCTGATAATTGCTTGATAAGAATGCCAAGATAGTAACATGACAGATTTTTTGAAGTTAAATTTCATGGTATACATAAACANTTTTCTCTTGGTGGACTTGAGCTTCCTTTGTTGGGCTTGGGCTTGGAATGGTTTGGGCCGAAGTGCTTGGGCTCTCTCTCCCCTTGGGATTTGCTTGGGCTTAATCTCCTCCAATGTTTTCCACTCTCCACAATCCAAGTGTTTTAGGACTTGGAATGCAATTCTTTGATTCAACCGAATTAGTGTTTTAGGACTTGTAATTCCTTGTCCACTCATGTTTACAAGTGTTTTAGGACTGGTAAACATATCAATAGATATAGATTTTTCTGATGATGATTTTGAAAGTTGGTTTTCAATGGATGAAGAACCCACTTCAAACTCTATTTTCCAGTTTGCAGCCACTGATACTGAGTTCTCTTATTTAGATAATTGTCACTATTTCTACCATATCCAACAAACACCACAATCCCTTCCATCATTAGCCTTCTTATGTCACGTACCTATAACAAAAGTTTAGATCTTTCCCACTAAATATTCCAATCTCATTTCAGTTATAGCATTTTTTGATACTAGTGCTACTTGCACTATTATCAACCTTAAGATCCTCCCATTCTCTCAGTGGAAACCTCATCAGGAAGTTTTCTACACTGTTAATAGTGACACTTTCATTACTCATCTAATAAGTAAACCCATTAAAATCCAAATTTTTCTAGGATGTTTTACTTTTCATAAAGTTCTTTGTTCCGATTTACCTAGCAAAGGTATGGTTCTAGGTTTTGATGTTTATTCTAAACTCAATAAACTTAGAATCCTCCCTGAGGGTGTTCGGTACAAGATTTTTTCCGATCCTTGACCACTCAGCCTAATTTATTCTAGATTGACGGCAATTCTATTGAGCAGATCAAAACTCAGCTTATTTCCTGCTCTTGTGTGAATTCTCGTGCATATTTTCTCACTAAATGTGCTTATCCATTATGAAAGAATTCTGATTTCTTTATCCATCTGCCATTCATTAAGAGCGAAGATATCAATCCCACTAAAGCTAGTCATTCAGGCATGTCATTAGAACATCTCAGTTTGCCCAACAAGAATGTACTAAGCTTTTATCTCAATGATTGATCGAATCCACAGATTCTCAATGGGCATGTGAAGCTTTTTATGTCAATAAACGTGTTGAACAAGCCAGAGGAAAACTCAGACTTGTTATCAATTATCAGTTATTGAATTTATTTCTCCGTGATGATAAATTTCCTCTGCCTTTCAAACAATTTCTCTTTGCAAATCTCTATAATGCAAAGATGTTTTCCAAATTTGATCTCAAAGCTGGATTTTGGCAACTTGGAATTCATCCTAATGATCGTCATAAGACTGCTTTTTGCATTCCCAACCAACACTACTAGTGGACAGTCATGCCTTTTGGATTTAAAGTCGCTCCTTCCCTGTTTCAGAAAGTCATGACGAAGATATTTGCTCCCTTGCTACATACATGTCTCATTTATATCGATGATATCCTTCTCTTTTCAAAAGATGAGGAATCTCATATACGTCTTCTTCGTGAATTTGCTGATATCGTACACTCTTATGGTATTATGCTCTCTGAGAAGAAAATAGAGTTAGGGCAAACAAAGATTGATTTTCTTGGTATGGTGATTGCTGACGGTAAGTATGATCTTCAGCCTCATATTGCTAACGAGTTGCAAAAATTCCCAGATGTTCTCACAACCAAGAAAGAAATACAACAATTCTTGGGAATTGCCAATTACATTCGTAGTTATATTCCCAACATTTCTCGTTTCACTACTCCACTTTCCCAGATGCTTAAGAAGAATCCTCCTTCGTGGTCTGAAAAGCAAACAAATGCAGTCAAGAGTCTTAAGCGCACATCATTCCGTACACAACCATTGAAGATTCCTTCTTCTAAGGAAAGAATTCTTCAAACAGATGCTAGTGACACTCATTGGGGTGCAGTGCTTTTTGAATAAGATGATGACAAGATGATGACAAGGTATGACATTTATGTGGATACCAGAGTGGACAATTCAATCCACACCAACAACATTATCATTCTACTTTCAAGGAAGTATTAGTAGTAAAAAAAGCCATTGAAAGGTTTGAATTCCACCTTGTTGGTTATCATTTCTTTGTTGAAACAGATATGAAGTCTTTTGATCAAATGCTTCAATTCAACAAGTAAAAGGTTCCACATCAACAATTACTTCGATGGGCAAAATGGTTCAGCAAATATTCCTTCACTGTCCAGCACATTAAAGGTCACACCAACACCCTTGCAGATTATTTATCCAGACCTAAAACTAAACAAGTCGGTTTCATGAACCCTAGATCCAAACCTCTTCCTTGTTTTATGTTCAACCATTAACCCAGTCCAGTTTTTGTTCATCATCTTCTTCACCAAACCATACTCCAGACGTACCTCCTGAATTCGATGACCTTGTTTGAACTCGTATCATTGATGAAAATGCTACCACCCTCATGTTTTTTTATCAGATTCAATGCATTGAAAAATGTAGACAATCCATGCATGATATGTTAGGCATTCATCCAGGTTACCCCTTTTAAAAAATCTTTTGTTTACCTCAAGGTCTTAATATCATATTTCCAGAAGAATTATTATGGTTCTTTTGGTATATGTTACACTAGTACCACATTGCCATTCAATTCCCGGTCCATCATATATTGAAAATAATTTCCCAATATCAGTCATCCTCAACCTCTGAATTACGCTCTTTGATGACTTTTCTCAGATGGTTCAAAACCCTAGACAAATAGAGATCTGTGTTTGCTCATTAGCTTGCCCGGTACAAAGGTCTTATATCTACCAAAATGGCATGGTCTATCATGTTTTTTCCACATATATCACTTTATCAGATTCGATGGCCTATATTTTTCACAGTATCAAGTCACATTTCATCGGTCTTATCCATATGACCTCGTCCATAATATGTTTGACCATCTTGTTGAGGCTAGATCAATTCAAAAAATCTTTTTTGAAAAAATCAGATCATTCTTGATGAAATATGACATCCTTTCGCGATGATGCTCCGTGGGAACTCTTTCCTCCAGATTATACTGAGAAATTACTCCAAGCCAAACAAACATGCATAGGTTCCATGACTACTCAATTCGATGCCAATTCAGATTATCCAGAATGGTGGTACCTAGACTCACAGCTAGATACTATGCAAGAAGAAGAGCTTCAGCAGTCTCGTAATTACTATCTTCATAAATCCAGGCGACAACAGTACATGCATACACCAAGTACCTCTGCAAGACAAACATCCCAGATTCCAAACATTTCTTCGGATACTCATCCAGATACATATTCTCAACAAATCCCTGCTAACTGGATTCAATCAATGGGTTGTCTCGATTTCCAAGATGAAGACTCGAGCCACGTTACCAACTTGTCAGACGATTAAAGCTCTGCGTGTCTTCTTAAAATAAAAAGTTGTGTCCTTTACGTAAAATAGTGGTGGACTAAATGGCAGTTTTCCAACTCTATATAATATCTTCCGCATGTTTTGTAAAAGTCAAGTATTGTAGGCTAATAAATGTAAAAAAATAAATAAAATAAATAAAAAATAATAATAATAAAAAAGACAAGTCAAAAAGTTTAGTCATGTATTAAATGACTCATTTATGAGTCTTGCTTGGGTTAATTATCTCTTATCTATAAATAAAACCTTTTATCTTCTCGTGGAGAATGAGGAACTTTGTAAAACTCTTGTATATTTCTCTTGCTAAAAATCTCTCACTTCTCCCTTGCATATTTTCTTTACACATCTTTCCCATAGTTTTTCTATGTTTTTTTCATCTTTCTAAACTTTCCCTCAACCTCAAGGGTGTTGTAATATTCTGATAACATTAAAGATAGCAAAAGATCTCATGTATGTCTTTAATTTATGTTATGTGACATGTTTAATATATATGTTCTTCATTTATGTTTTTAGTGTGTTTAATTTTCACTAACCCTTTTAGATGATGTTAAGAGCTGTGTAGGTGTACGTGTGTGGGGGATAAAAGGAGGGCATTGACCATGATTTCGATCGATTGTTGTGCTGATTGGTTTCGCTTAGGTCGGCTATGATAGTTTCCCACATGCATAAACTCCACGATCTTCTGACAACATCTCTAAGGTTTAGTAATCCATATGAATCTTATTGTTTAATGCTAAGTTTCACCAGCAAATCATATAAATTCAATTAGAGCAATTGCAAAAATACCCAAATCAACTCACCTTTGGGTACAATGGATAGCTATAGCTCAAGTGGTAAAATGAGTGGTTGAGCACTGGAATGTGTGGTTAAGGTGTATGGTTCTAGGTTCGAATCCTTTAACTTACAAGATTTAAGCAAGTAATCAAGGCAACAGGACCCACTGTTGGTGGGATCGAGTCGCTTGTCAGGATCGAGATGCGATTTTGCTTGCAGACACCCATTATTTTAAAAAAAAAAAAAAATTACCCAAATTGGAACNATGGTTGGTCTTGTGTCATCATTGTAACAATTGTCATACTTCAAGTAGTCAATTCCCTGCTTAAAGGTACACAAATTACTAACTTCAATCATCTTCGACAAGAACTGGAAATTAGAATGATCAACTTCAAGCATATATGATGAAAGATTATGTTTGCGCATTCAGCATGCATACCCACGAAGCAAAGGTTGTAGCATCTTGTTTTTCATGGCCGATTGAACCTGGCATTTTCCCTGTACATGTTCGGTACCTTTACAAGTATGGAGACAAAAGGAATTGAAGGTCATTTTAATGTGTGTTTTAATGAAAAATGGTACATCTTCTCATGCAAATTTGACGCAATGAATTCTTGAAAAGCATCAGGAACTTGTTTAAATGATTTTCACACAGAATATTAGCAGGAAAAAATGATAAGAACTCACCCTGAATCTGCATAAATTCCTGACTTCAGACCTTTGCTGTGCACATAATCTGCAAGAGCTTTAATTTGATTTCATTTGATCCGGTTGAACCAGCGGTCTGACATTATTCTAGCGGTCTAATAACGGTCAGAAGTGATTTAAATGAAAATACCGGTTTTTAACACTTAATAAACCGTAATCATTGACGAAACCTGGTTGAAGCACCCAGTCCGATCATTGGAAGAAAGAACTAGAAGTCATCCACGTATATTTTATGTCAAAGTTTTTTGAGTCAAATGAGCCAAGTCTCTCCAGTAAAATTCGATATTAATTATTGACCCAACAATTAGTGAGTAAAAGTCAGTTTCTGCAAGTGTTTACCATCCAATTTCCAAGTCAACTAGCGTGTCTTGACGGGTAACAGGGATGACTCAATCGAAGAAGTGATACAAAGACTGTTAGTATTAGTTATTGTGCTCTTTGTCATCTTTCATTTTGTCCTTCTTTGTTTAGCTAAAGAAGGAAAGAGAATCAATCCAAAATGTCCACGTTTCTTACTATATTATTTTGTACAAATTTTTTTATAAAATTCCTTTATCTTCAAATAATGGTATTAAAGTCAATTTATTCAAATCTCTCTCTAAACCTGTGGGGTTCACATAGTATTAAGCCACCTACACTGAGCACGAAGGTCCCCGAAAAGAGTTGTTTATATGTGTATTCTCTGTCAGCCTCTTTTGCCGCGTTGCTTTCTTTCCAGAGCTCGTGAATTTTGCAGAAATTTTGAAACTTCTTCGCTTTACGAAGCAGAGTCCATCGCTTTCTTTGAAGAAATTACTCCTTTCGAACTTCATCTACTAGTTTATTCGACTGCAAGCAAGTAATCAAACACTCTTGNCAATTGACTAATTGATAAGAAGATTATTTCACCTAGGAATGAATAGCAAGGTGCTTTAGATATTTCCCACACCAAGTTGTTACCTATGTTGACATACTGATATCCAAGCTTGGCTAGTCCACTTGATACTAGGGCATTAGCTGTTGAAGACAAAAATTGAAGCATTATAAATATTGCATACATATATGTAGTAACTTGATGCAAAACACTTGCTGGTAATCTGAGTCTATCGATGATAACAAGATTGGTATATTATGGCATGTTTAGTTGTATTATCCAAATAAACGATCAAGAACTCACCTGTTTCTCTAATGATCTTGTCGTTAATCTGGCAGTGGAAGTGATTCCAACTATTCCACCTACGCCATAGAGTTAAATTGCTTGAGGATAAACCATTATTGATAGAATATTGATTTTATCACAAACAAATATGTTATAACAAAACCATAATCTTTTATTTTGTAAGTACTGCAAAATTAGAATAATAGCGTCTCTAGCATGGAGAAGAAAAACAAACTGAAAACAGAGTACACAGTTTCACTATAATCAGGCGAATATACTCTTCAGTTCCATAGCAGAAAACAACATCTAATTATATAACTTGCACCTAAAACAACCTGCTCAATATTAACTTCTCTTACACACTATTATAAAAGAAAATGGCAAAGACAAAATAGTTGTGCAGAAAAGTATACAGGTTGTCAATTTGCATGATAGGATAATGATGAATACCCCATTGGAGGAGTGAGACCGAGATCGTTGCGGAGCAGAATTCTCCCACCAGGTCCATTGCTGCTTGCAGAAAGATTAGATGAAACTAAATAAGAATGGTTGAAAGAGAGGCTGAAGAGAAGAGAACTGAACATAGGAGCAAGCAGGGAGAGTAGCATCTATCCATCGTCTCTCACTTCCAAATCAGGTATCCATGGCCCAAGTATATAGCTACAATGCAAAGCTGTAGAAATAATAGATAAAAGTAGGGCAAACGACATGTTCCCACCCGAGGTTTAGCGAAATCCCAACTTGGTATCGCTGGTTGCATTTATTCCAGATTCCACCCTTAATCTAAACCCGTCTACTTTATTTTAACAATTGAGGGTAAAAGCATCAATGTACTCCACATCTCAAATCTCTCTCAACAAACGCCCATTGTCGTGCCCGAGCCACTTGTTTTCTGTGGATCCCAGCCGGATTTCTCACCCAAACTGACGGAAATCATCACCCTAAGCCCAATTCCTTTGCCCCAGCCAATAGGTTTGTGTTCGCGCGACTGGTTGGGGCAAATGGCCGAACAATTGGTAGGCGTTTTGTAAAGGGCAGGTGAGTGATGTCTGGAGATCGAGAAAATGGCCAAGGGGGTTTGTACAGTCAATCCATAACACAAAAAACCCCAAATCAAACCAAAATCCAAAACAACTAAAAAAAAAAAAAAAAACCATACACGGTGGCAGGTTGTGCTATCATGGATGCCAATCGGCGAGTTGCCAGGAGGTGGGGTTATGGTGGTTTTGAAGAGGAGGCACCGGTAATGCTAGGAGTGGTGGCGGCGGGAGTTTCGGCTGCCGAAATCGGCCAGAATTTGGCTGAGAATTCTGAAACCCTAACGTAACGGCAACCGGCAATCGGTGAGAGGAAACAAGCAGGAATTGGGGGTTTTGGTCAATGAAGGGTGGGGATGTCGATCGTGGGGTCGAGGAAGGCCAACGGCGACGGGAACTACCCAAATCGGGCCTGAGTTGTGGATCGCACGATTGGAAATTCGCGTAAAAACAGGCCAAATCTGGCCAAGAAATCGGTCGTTCAGGTTAGGAGGTAAAGGAATTGGGCTTAGGGTGATGATTTCTGTCAGTTTGGGTGAGAAATCTGACCGGGATCCACGGGCGGCACCGGCAATGGGTTGAGAGAAATTTGAAATGTGCGTACTTTGACGCTTTTACCCTTCAATTGTTAAACTAAAGTAAACGAAGTTAGATTAAGGGTAGGAATCTGAAATAAATGCAATCAGGGTACCATATTAAAATTTGGCTAAACCTCGGGTGTCATAAAAGCAAAACTAAACATGCTGCAGGCTGCAAACACCTACCATCTATAATATTTGGAGCTACAAATGATTCTAGTGTGTGAATAGATTATGAATATAAGAGAAAAAAAAGATTTGATTCAACCAAATGATGAAAACCTTACTAAACGACTGGAGTGGCTATACCTAGAGATGGAATAGTTGGGCACCGAACCCCATATTTATAAAAAATTATCAAGTTTTTTCATCACTCTGTAGACTGAGCATATAAAGCATTGAAGTGCTATTACACGCGCAATCTAGTGAAGCACGCTTCCACTTGAGCCAACTTTTAGCATCTTTGCCCACCAAGGCTAAAAAAATAAAGTGGATTAAAGTCATTAACTAATGTAATTTGGTCTATCACTGCATTATAATTTTATTCTAAATATTCATTTGTATTGGAAGTATGTGTACAAGGCACTCAGATCCTCGGTCACACCAGCCAAATGCTTCTTCTCCAGAGTCTTTCATAATGATAGCATGTAATCAACCAATGGTTGCAACTTACGGCTGCGGCTTCCAGTGATGCTTGAACCAGACCAGACCCCAGATAAAGAAGCAACAATTTTTTCGGTTCTCATGATTGCATCATGAACATTTGATGTGATGCTTCGAACATGTGGAAAAACATTTCTACATAAAATCTCATCAAGGACAAGCTCTTCTAGAATTGGCAATGCCAGGATTTCTTTCCACAAGCAGATATTTCTTATCAAACGAACAGACATCCTAAATCGGTATGCTGCAATCCGTGCTGCATTGGGAACAGCATTCATTAAAAGAGGGCTCCATGCAAGGACTGTAAGGTTAGAAACAGCTTCAGCCAGACAGGTACGAATAGCAAGTAGTAAATCTGCTAGTGCCTCACTGGAAGTAGGAACATAGGTGACAACCAAGCTTGTCGCAGAAACAGCATTCTTTGTTTCTCTTGTACTAAGCATGTCCCAGCAATGAGCAATTTCGTGGTGCAGAATTGGAAGTGTAACCTTTTCAACCAGCGTAGGAACCAGGTTCGCATCAGCATCATCCGGGGTAAAATCTCTCCCATCTTCTGGCAAACTATAACTGAATAGTAAAGAATGCCATTTCATATTAGAGAAATCAGCATCCTCGTGTAGTGGGTCCCACTTTACGAGCTCCAACCTTACAAACGGAGACAAAATTGTGGGAGCACTTAGGGACATGTAAGCATCACGATGGCTCGATGAATACTCTCTCTTCCATTTTTCAAACCTTTCTTTAACCAATGAAAGTTGGGAATATTCCTCAGATGCATCACTGAAAATCTCATCAGCATGCTGGAACACCAATTCACGGTTTGACTGGTATGTAGAACTCTCACTATCACTTTCATCAGTACTTGATTCTCCTTCCATTTTCTGATTGGAACTGTCAATATCCACGGATGACAAGCACTTTGACTCAAATCGAGCTCTCCCACATTGGCGTGCTTCAGCCCTCCGTGTCATATCCATCCGTTTCTGCAGGTTCATATCTCTACCAAATTCATCTAACTTCACTGGTAAATTTGTTTGTTCTTTAATGGCAGAAGATGCCGCCTGAGCTGCACTTTTGGCAGCTGCAATCATTGCAGCATTGTTGCAACGGTCGTTGAATACTGCGATAGCTGCTTTCACAGCTGCTTCTACCTCAATCATTTCATCATCATTATCGGCAGCCCTTCTCTCCAATAAGGTGGATGCATGTTCTTCATGGAGCTTTTGCATCTGCGCTTCAAGTTCCTCTGCTGAAAGCAAAGAATATTACAAAACACTTACAAGTACAAGTTCAGGTTCACACGAAAAAGAAACTATTAGATGTAAAGGGTATTAATGCAATTTACTCTTGCTAAGCTGAGTTAGTTTAGAATGAGTGAGTTAGTTCACTCTTCAGCTCAATAAGTAACTGAGCTGCTATGCTGTATATAAAGAACAGTAACACGTTTAGTAAAGACACGAATTCATTTTCTCAAAACTCAGTTACATTTCTTTGCTTCCTTGTTTATTAACATGGTATCACAGCAACAGAATCTCTAGCCCTAATCTGAGAACGAGTCGATTCGAGTGAACCTCTTTAATTTACATAAGTTCAATCAGCTTGAACACTTGATTTCTTTGTTTCATCCTTCGAATTTTGTAGTTCGAAATCTTGAATTAGTTTTTTTTTTTTTTTGGTTCAACCTAAATTCTTAGTCGATTCGACTTGAATTTGATTCTAGATCAATCAATTTGATAATTAGTTAATCAAATATGCCAACATCGACAGAAGAACTTACCATTCAGTCGATTGACTCCAATTCACCCCTGTATGTCCATCCATTAGATACACCAAGCTTTATATTGGTTTCTGAACAACTCGTTGGAGCTGAAAAGTACAACATCTTGATTCGAGCCATGACGGTCTCTCTCTGTGCCAAAAATAAACTTGGATTTGTTAATGGTACTTGCACAAAATCGACTGTACATTCTAGCTTGGCTCCACAATGGGAGAGATGTAATTCATTGGTGCTTGCATGCATCTTTAATTTAGTCTCGAAAGAGATCTTTAATGGTATAGTTTACTCTACAAGTGCTTCACATGTCTGGCAAGATTTGAAAGAACAGTACAACAAAGTAGGTGGTACTAGAGTGTTTGGGTTGCATCGGGAAATCGTTAACCTAACTCAAGGAACTAACTTTGTAGCCNTAGATTTATAGTATGATTACTTAATTAATTATAATATTCCATTATAAACATTAGTACAATACTTAATTAAATAATTAGAAATTTAATTAATTATAATATTAAATTATAAATTTATAGTATGATTGTTTAATTAATTTAATTAATTGTTTGTGTTTTGATTTTGATAGAGGAATTTTATGTGAATTGTGATGAATCGATGGCAAAAGCATATTTGGAGCATCTGAATCAGCAGAAATTACTGCATTTTTTGATGGGATTACATGAGTCCTATTCCATGGTTCGAAGCCAAATCTTGCTAATGAATCCTCTACCGAATGGCAAGTAAGCTTATTTAGTGGTCAATCAAGATGAAAGTTAGAAAATCTTGGCAGGGATGAGTTTGAATTTAGAAGTAACTATAGCACTTTATGCCAATCATTCTGAAAATGGCAAAGGTCAGAATCAATGCCAAAAATATAAAGGAAGAAGCCCTACATTGAATGTGAATTTTGTCACATTCTTGGACACAAACGAGATACTTGTTACAAGTTGCATGGGTATCCACCTGACCATCAATTCACTAAAGGGAAAGCAAACTCTAAGTCAAAATTTACTGCCAATCAGGTGCATACTTCAGAGTCATTGGATGTGGGAAATTCAGGATCAATGGTTAGCACTGGAAACTCAGATTCAGTTGTTGGTCATGATCTGACTACTGAGCAGTACAATCACACCTCCAATTGCTAGGAAAGGAGAATGTTTCTCCTCCCAATGCTAACTTGGCAGGTAATTCTATTGCCTTGATGTCTTACCTTGATAAGAATAGTTGGATAATTGATATTGGAGCATCTAACCATATGACGTTTGATTATTCTGTCCTACAATTACCTACTGCTATAGAACCTTCTGCAACATACCTTGTAGGGTTACTAAATGGAACAAGAACATATGTTAAACATGTAGGGTCTGTAGTTCTGGATAATAACTTACATTTACCAAATGTCCTGTATATTCCAGATTTCCATCCCAATTTACTTTCAGTCTCCAAACTTGCTGCTTCTAACAACTGTTTTGTTACCTTTTATCCTGATTTGTGTCTCATTCAGGATCTTTGCAATGGAAAATTGAAGGGGATTGGTAAGCATGGGCTAGGTCTTTATTTTTTAATCCAAATTTGAAAATTTCCACTTTTGTATCAGACTTAGGACAATTAAATAAGGTTGTTTGCCATACTGTAGAATCATCACAGATTGTACCTTTTGAGATGAATTTGAATAAAATGCCTATTTCCATGTTGTCATTATCTTCATCTTATGATTATGCATTATGACATCAAAGATTAGGACATGCCTCTTATTCTATTTTGCCTCTTGTTCATCCTAGTTTGTCAAGGTCTAGTGCTCAAAGTGGTTTACAATCTATGAATTGTCCTGTCTGTCCTCTAGCTAAACAGACCAGGTTACCCTTCCCTAGTAGTACATCTCAAACACAATTTTTTTTTTTTTTTGATTTACTACATATGGATGTATGGGGTCCTTATAAAACACCTACGCATGGGAATGCTAGATACTTTCTCACTATGGTAGATGATTTTTATAGGGTTACTTGGTTGTTTCTTATGCTTCAAGTCAGACACTTACTCTACCATTAAACACTTCCTTCGTATGGTACATACACAATATAGTTTGACTCCTAAGTGCATTAGGACTGATAATGGTTTAGAGTTTTTTAACAAAGATTGTCATGAACTCCTAAGGAGTCCATGTATCATTCATCAAAGTTCATGTGCTTATTCTCCTCAACAAAATGGTATTGTTGTTAGTGTATGCCTTAGGAACCAATCGTGTCGTCAGTTCCAAGGCATTATGTTTTGTATATATATGTTAATGTATATATTTTGTATATACATTTTATCTTATTAATAGAAGAAATTGTTTTTATTTCACATGTGATTTATTGTTTCATTTATATATATGTATTACATGTGAAATGTCCGGATGATACAAATCTTTAGAAGATCAAAATCATCAAAGTATTTCCTACATAGGTAATATTAATTGGGCAATAATATTATATAGTAGACATGCTGAATGCCTCCGTAGAATATCATGTGATGGTATTAGTGTGGGTGATTATAAAAGTTATATCACGAGGGCATTAGCATGGATACGCGGTCAGTGAATTGTTTATCGAATATGGCCATTTATGATGAATCACATGAACATTTAAAATGTAGTCAATGATTTATCATAAGATCGTACTAGTGTATTATTAATCCTTCGACCTGAGATATCACGGTTAGATTCTGCATAAACGCATATGGTTCATATGGTGTATAAACATGAGGCTAATCATGTCATGTGTTAAAAAGCCACTTTGGCCATGCGTTGTTTATGTGTGAGGACAAGTGATAGTCAAGATGAGATCCGTTGACTTGGTATAGATTGATGTCAAGTTCCTAGACAAATGTCAAGATACATTAGAAAAGGGAAATCTTCGGCTGGGGTATATAAAATGTTACATGAAAGGTTGTTTCATGGTGACACGCTCCATATGTATTGAATTAAAATTAAGATAAGGATTTTGGCATACCATGAATCCATTCTTAATTGGGATTAGTCAATGAAAGGATTTGATTATACAACGTGTATGATTGTAAAAGGTTTGTTGGAGTATATCTTCATTGTGACTTTGGGGTTATGGAGCATTGCTAGATGCCTACCATAATCAGTGAGAGTTTTGTTCATAAAGAGTTATGATAAAACATATCGAAATAGACTGTGATATTGGGCCCACGGCTAGGCCACAGTGAACCTAAGAGGTCATACATAAAAACTAAGGGGAATGGAGAAATAGCCAAAGAGAGTTGATTATCCAAGGTTGGCTAGCACCTACCAAGGGTAATAAAGTTATTTATATTAATCATTTTCTTTATATTAAACTGGATTTTATAAGGGGTTGTAATTGTAAACAATTAAGGGTTAAATTTTTATGTAGACAATTTAAGAGTTAAATTGTTAATTGTGATTAAATGTTAATCCAATGTTATAATTTAAAGAAGTTTAACAACTTCATAACAATTATGGAATTGTTTAAGGAAGTCCAAAACAATTATTGAATTGTTTACAAGGATTCCTATATAAAGAAAATGATATATCAATTTTTGTGTAGAGATAAAAAAAATCTCTAAGAACCCTAAATCTCTCTCTTGGCCAAATTTCTTCTTCCCTTGGTGTGGATACTCTTTTGCTTAATTTCTCTTGAAATTAAGAGTCTCCAAGGTTGCTAAGGGCTTAAGGTAACATGTTCTACCTTACTTATTTCAATTTAATTGAATTTTTTTTTTTAAAACTATGACTATACTTGTTATAGTATGATATGCTTGATTCTCCATGCATCCATCTTACAATTGTTGAGAAAAAGCATAGACACATCTTAGAGGTTGCTAGGGCTTTAAGACTTCAGTCCAATATTCCCACTCATTTCTGGGGGTATTGTGTACAAACTGCAGTCTACATCATTAATAGACTACCTACTGCAGTGCTTAAAGGTCAGTCACCTTTTGAGAAATTTTTTGTCAAACCACCTTTCTTGAATCATTTAAAGGTCTTTGGATGTTTGGCCTATGCTACAATCTTACCTTCTAAGGACAAATTGCATCCTAGAACTGCTTCTTCAGTTTTCTTGGGTTATTCTCTTACCCAAAAGGGCTATATTTTACACAATTTGTCTACTCATTCTGTGTTTGTCACTAGAGATGTCATTTTCTATGAATATGTTTTCCTTTTTGCCTTGTCAACATCTTCCTTGAATCCTTTTCCTATTGATTCAGAGTTCCTTGTTTCCGAGTCAATTCTAGCTCCTTTTATAGATTCTATTTCACCTCATTTTACTGTTGATTCTCCTGTTATCCAGACTATAGAATCTACTGTTTCTTATAATTTTGTTCCTGATCATTCCACTCCTTATATGCCTAGTATTTCTCTTGTTTCACCTCCTGCTCTTAGAAGATCCAATAGACATACCAATCCTCCTATTTGGGCACAAGATTTTGTTTGCCCTACACTACATCATAAGCCTGCAGCCAATACTTCACACTATCCCATTACCAATTTTGTTTCATATGCTAATGTATCCCCTTCCTATAAAGCATTCTTGTCCAATCTCTCCTTAGTTGAACCCACTACATTTACACAAGCTTCTAAAGATCAGAATTGGGTCCCTGCTATGCAAAAAGAAATTCAGGCATTAGAAAGCAATAAAACCTGGTCCTTAGTACCTTTGCCCCTTGGTAAGGCTCCCATTGGTTGTAAGTGGGTATGTAAACTTAAGTATAAGGCTGATGGTACCCTAGACAGATACAAGGCGCGCTTGGTTGCTAAGGGATATACACAGCAGGCCGGGATTGATTATGAGGAGACTTTCTCTCTAGTTGTAAAGATGGTTACTGTTAGAACAGTTTTGGTTTTAGCCTCCATGAACAATTGGCCTCTTTATCAACTTGATCTGGACAATGCTTTCTTGCAAGGGGACTTGCAAGAGGAAATTTACATGACATGGCCCCAAGGTTTTCCAAACAATGGGGCAGAATCTGGTATGCAAGCTCCATAAATCCTTATATGGATTGAAACAGGCTTCTAGAGTCGGGAATTATAAGCTGACTACAGCTCTTCTGAATGGTGGTTTCCAGCAGTCTCGGTCAGATTATTCATTGTTTCTCAAAAGAAGTCA